AAGTCCTGCCCGGCGTCGCGCGGGGGCGGGGCGGTGCCGGGGGCGGCGGGCGGCGGGGCGGGCGCAGGATGAGGGCGGCCATTGCTGGGGCTCCGCCGCGGGGAAGAGGACGGCGAGGAGGCGCCGAGTAGCGCAGCGGGGCGGAGGAGGCTCCCGCGCCGACGGGGGCCCATGGCCAGGACCACCAGCCACTTGGTGAGTGCGCCGCGGCGGGCGGGGCGCTCCGGCCCGTTACACCGCGGAGCGCGGCGGCCTCCCGGGACCGGCGAGGCGGGGCGGCCCGGGGTCCCGAGGGCCGGGCGGCGCCTTCACTGCGACGGCCGGCCGGGCCGGGGCGGTCGGTTCCAGCCGGGCTCTCTCCTCGGCCGCCGCGGGCAGCCCTGGCCCTGGCGGCGGCGGACGCCGGCCCGGCCGGGGGCGCTGACAGGCGCGGAGGGCGGGGGAGGCCTGGAGGTGTCACCTGGCCGGGCGGGGTGGAAGTGCCTGGAAAGTTTGTTTTCGAGTCGGCGCAGCCTGGAGCGAGCCTCTGGGGCCACCTTTCCGCTCGGTCTCCCGAGGAGCCGCCCTAGGCCTCCGCCTGGAACGGCTTCCCAGCGCCTCCGCCTGCAGAAGGGGGCTCGTTCTTGGGCCGGGCACCTGATGCTCGCGGCCCCGCCAGCGAATTCTCGACCCGGGGCGGGGAGTGCGGAGGGTCTGGTCGCCCCTGCTTTCGCGGCCCTGCGGGAGGCATTTGGATGCTTTTGCGGCCGGTGGCCGTGTTCCGTGCGGGGGGGAGCTGCTGGGAGGCGGGCCTCGAAGCATCGCCGAGGGGAAGTGAGCCTGACAGGTAGAGGGGACCCCAGGGCAGCAGAGCGGAGCAGGCCACTTGTTTGTCGAGCGTCTCTGTTTTCCCCGCGTTCCTGGTGTCTGGATGTGCTCTGAGGTCTTGGGACGTGCGTGGCGATTTAGCCCTGTGTGCGGTGGTGATGGTCGGACGTCACTCGCAGAGGAAGTCCTGGGCATGAAGGCAGGCCCGGGGCGCAGCTGGACGCTCGTCTGCCAGGCTAGGCCGTCGCGGCTGCAGTCGCAGTCCCGGGGGGCCGGGGCCTGGCAGGGCCCCTTGGCGTGGCCGAGGTGGGAGCCCGTGGCTGAGAAAGCGCGCGGCTGCACTGGATTCTGCGACTGTGTCAGGAGGCCCTTGGACCTTCCGCAGCTGCTCCTTGGTGATCATTAAACCGAAACCTGCAGGCTGAGAACGGGGTGGGGGTGTCCGCGTGTTGGGGGTGTGGCTGCACCCCGGCGCCCGGCAGAGTGAGCTTCCGCACGGTCTGTGCAGGCTAGAAAGGGGTGGGGGTGTCCGCGTGTTGGGGGTGTGGCTGCACCCCGGCACGGTCTGTGCAGGCTGAGAACGGGGTGGGGGTGTCCGCGTGTTGGGGGTGTGGCTGCACCCCGGCGCCCGGCAGAGTGAGCTTCCGCACGGTCTGTGCAGCGCCGGGTGTGTATGAGGCTCTGTGGAACAGGGAGCTCGGGGTTTCGCGGTCTTGTCATCCACACGATGGACTCTGACATGCAGTGTCTTCATGCGAGGCAGCGTGGCATCCCGTGAGCAGAAGTGGCCTTCCCGGGGAGGGAGTGAGTGGCAGGCCCCGCGGCTTTGGCAGCTGGAGTCCCTGTGGCCCCGTGTGGAGGAGGCCGTGTTTCCTGTCAGTGGTGCCGCAGACCGCCTGCCCCAGAGGCACCTGATGGGTCTAAGGGGTCTGCACGCAGACTTCAGGGTGGCACTGCAGGCGTGTGGGAGATGCCTCTGCCAGTGGGAAACCAGCAGGGGGAGCAGTCTGCGCTCTGGCCTCTCCTGCCGGGAGTCCCAGGTGGGCCAGAGTCCGATGAGGGCAGGTGCCTTGCCAGGTACCTCCTGTGGTGGTGTGGGCAGTGTTGCTCCCTTGCACTGATGCCTTGAGGTGCAGAGGGGTTTGGCAGGGACCCCAGTGTGAGGGCCGCCAGGGAGGGAGGGAGGGTGGGCAGCTCAGCCCGGCTCTGTGTGTGGGGTGTGAGGAGTCCTCAGTGCGTCTACCCAGGATGTCTTCCCGGGAATGGAGCCCCATGGAGGCAGAGAGAGTGTCTTGGCCTGCAGGGACAGCGCACGTGTGTCTCTGGGCAGATGGCTGAACTCTGTGACCCCTGGGGCCTGTAGCGGCCTCCTGCTGTCAGCAGCTGTTTGGAGAGCGGCTCCGGCTCCGCACTGAGGGCTGATAGTCTGGGTGAGGCTTGGGGTCCCTCTGGAAGAAGGACATGTCTCTGTGGGGTTAAGGGTGGAATTGGGGGTTCGGCGGGCCTTTTGCGAGGCTGGCTGTGTCTGTCGGGAAAGGCTGGGGAAAGCAGAGAGCGTCAGAAAAAGCGGCTTGTGGTTTTCTGGCTGCGCTCCGCCTGCCGCCTGCCGTGGCTGGTGTGTGTGGAGCAGGGTGACCCCGCCCGGTGACACCCGGGAGGCAGCAGTCTGCAAGCGAGTGGAGAGCGGCAGGGTGAGTGCTGATGCCCCAGCTGGGGCTGAGGTCTGCTCTGCTCTTGGGTGTGTGTCGTGGGGAGGCCACAGGGCATCCTGTGGAGAGGAGGAGCGGACAGCTCCTTTTCTGTGGCCTCAGCCTCTCAGCTGCCTCGGCTGGGTTTGGGTGCTTGTGGGTGGCTGACGGACACTGGTGAGAGATGGGGTTGGGCACGGGTGCTGGCCTGGGAGGTGTTGTAGGAATGAGGGGTGAACGTGGCCAGTTCCTTCTGAGGTGATGCCTTTGAGGAGGGTGGCTCCCCAGCACGGCACTTTGTTTTGCATGGGATCGGATTAGGGCAGAGCCCACCTGCTTTTTCAGCTCAGCGGTGGCTGTTGCTCCCAGGAACGCTGGTGCGGGAATGCCTCTCCCTTGGCAGCTGTGTGCTCCAGGCCTGCTGGTGGATGGCCGGTGGCGACGGGGGCCCATTGCCCGCCGTGTGGCAGACAGGTTCAAGGGGCGTTTCGCCAGGGAGGAAGTGCTGCTGTGGCTCTGGACAAGTGGCGCTCAGGTCCCTTCAGTTTTTCACTTGTTCAGTGTGAACCAGGCCCTTTAAAAATCGTTTGGATATTGAGAACAGGCGATGTGTTCAGTATCTACTGTGAGATCACAGGCAGGGTGTGTGTTTTCAGGGAATGTGGGGAAAGCGTTCTGATGTGTTCTCAAGAGAGGAGAAGGCTGTCTGGGTTCCCAGTGGTTGTTGGGGTGTGACGTGGATGACACGTACATGGTTTCCAACCTCTCAGTCTAGAACATTTTCTTCTTTTATTTATTTTTTTATTTTTTTGACAGGCAGAGTGGACAGAGAGAGAGAGAGAAAGGTCTTCCTTTGCCGTTGGTTCACCCTCCAATGGCCACCGCGGCCGGCGTGCTGTGGCTGGTGCACCGCACAGATCCGATGGCAGGAGCCAGGAGCCAGGTGCTTCTTCCTGGTCTCCCATGGGGTGCAGGGCCCAAGCACCTGGGCCATCCTCCACTGCACTCCCTGGCCACAGCAGAGAGCTGGCCTGGAAGAGGGGCAACCGGGACAGAATCTGGCACCCCGACCGGGACTAGAACCTGGTGTGCCGGCGCCGCTAGGCAGAGGATTAGCCTAGTGAGCCGCGGCGCCGGCCCTAACATTTTCTTCTTAATCCAAGAGATTCCAGGTGGTTTTGAATGTGTTAGGAGAACTAGCTCATTGCAAAGAAAGGACTTGTCCAGGCACTAAATTTCTTACCAGCGCACTTGATTGAGAATTCTGTTTGAACGGAGATGTTAGTATACAGAAGCTCAGGACGTCCAGAGCTGACAGGATATAAAGGTGGGCCTTGGTGGCCCCTGCGGAAGAGATGAGTGTGTGCTTTCCATCTGGAGTTTGCCCAGGGGCCTGGTGAAGGAGGGTGTGTGGTGGTGTCCTTTCTCCCCCAGACAGGATCAGGTACCCTCTGTACCGGCAGCTAGGCTGGGGCTGACCCGTGTGCATTTCAGATCAGCCTGCAGCCCGCAGGGAGTGGGAGTGTTGAAGGCCCGTCTGGGGGTCAGGGAGGTGCCTTGTGCAGGGCTGTATCCTCCCGGTGTTTGTGGAGCTGCAGGCCTCTGTGTCTGCCCTCTCTCCCAGAACTCACCTGTGCGCCATCGTTGTTACAGGCCCGCTCTCCAGCCGGTTTTTCTCTCGAATTGATTTTCTCGCAGTCAGGAGTGTTGCAGCTCCTGGTGACAGCTGTGTG